TAAATCCTTTCAATTACAAATAGGAATACAAAAATAAAAAGATAATGTTTCGTGTTAATTCATTTATATCTTCTCAAATCTTTTTTACTTTCAAATATATGTTCAAAACAATCCATCTAATCTGTTTCGTAAGTTATTTTGAAAATTTTTTCATTACTATAAGATAGCTTATTAAAATCATTGAATGAGATTTTATTTTTCAATCTTTAAATTAAGATAGAGGAGGCAATGTAGGCCTATTAAGTTTTCAGCATTTCTTTTGCTGAAAAAGCTTTTCTTCCAAAATTTTCACCAGCACCCATTGTCTTCTTTAGGCATTACTTGCGTAGCAGATATGCGGAATGATTAGACAATGTTGGTTAGATAAGCTTAAGATGGCTCAATTATAGCACTTGTCAATTCACAAATAGGTTAAATTACTTCATATCCAATTAATTATATAATGGTAATTGGCTTATTATTTCAGAAGCCTCCATATTCCTACATTTGGTTGACATATATGGCTATACAGAATTCAGAAGAAAAGATGCTTCCGTTGACTGAAATTTACAAATATATTATGGATAAATTTCCATTTTATCGTAAAAATACACAGAGATGGCAAAATTCCCTCAGACATAATTTATCATTCAATGATTGTTTTGTTAAGGTATTCCATTCTTAAACCATTTCTTCTTTCCCTTTCTGATTGAGATAAAGTAATCAGAAAAAAATTGGTTTATATTTTACAGTACAAAAATACGATAAAATTAAATGCTACAGCAACATCTTTCATTTCATATTCAGTAGATAATGGGCAATTGAGAGGATGACTAAAATAAAAGAATAAGAATTTTGGTTATTTTCAACTTCACAGTGAAATAATTCGATTGTTATTAATATAATGATGATAATTCTGATCGTACATTTTTCGTACATTTTTAACCGTTTTTTCAAAATTCAAAATTTATTGCTTTGTCAATTTAACTCTTTTATTGGAAAAAATCGAAAACTGTTTTAAATTATTTGTATGACTGCCTTTAGGCCCATTGTTTTCATCCAATTTACTTTTGTCAAAATTTATATTATAAATAAATTTGTTAATCATGTAAAATTTCAAAGATGATTCACGGATTAGTCATTTAACTTCAAATTTTGATATTCAAACAAAAATTATTCGAAAGTATAAATCACCTCTGTTATTTCGATTTAAATATTCTCTCAACAATTCAATCACAAATCTGCGAATTTTAAGTGAACTTTTCCATCCTGCCAAATTACTAATTGAAAAAAAGAACGTTTTGAAGGACGATTTGGAAGATTTATTTTGCATTCACTTTTTTCCTCTCAAAAATATATAATATTGGATGGGATCGTAAATAAACTATAACCACCCGCTGCGGTCTGAGTTATACCATCCCATGCTGGACAGCCTTATTCCGTCGGTTAGTTATTTTAATCAAAGAAAAAACTGGTTGGCTCAAACAACACGACAGCATTTTGCTGCTAATCAAGTCAAGAGAATATTCCATTTCTAATATCACTTTCCAATCTATAATTTTAATTACATATTTAACAATTTTGGTCAGAAATAAGATTTTGTTCTATAACTCATCAATTTCATGCCTTCTTTTTCGCGGATAAATTCTTTTGAATACAATTTAACTTTCACATTGCGCGGAATCGTTGTAAAATAATTAACTTAAACTTTGTCATTTAATCTTTCCTTTAAATTTCGATTTGTAAAATATGAAATAAATAATGATAGTAAAATTGCAATCATGAGATACCGAGAATGAAAAGAATACAGCAAAGTTACCGTATACCAGTTATCATAAAGGCTGTACGCTGGTGATGATCTGTATTCCAAAATTCTAATCTCTGAAAAATCTCACCGATCATTTGATTCTTTTATTTACTACTAATAAAACTATTAGGGAATAAAAGTGATAGCTGATCGAGAACATTTGATTGAGAAAATTCAAATCTCAATTTAAATCTTTCTCTAAAAATTAAACAAATAAACTTATCACTACCTGTTTAATTCTGCAAATTTTTTTACAAAAATTGTCTGTACACATTTTTTAATGTTATTCAATAATTTTGATATTTAGAAAAGTTTTGCGAAAGTCTTTTACTGCTTCATGTTTATAAATTTTTTTGCAGTAAATAAATGCTACCCGGAGCAACTGCTAAAAAAAGAAAATTAAAAATTTGCAAATGATTTGGATTAAGGAAAAGAGGAAATGAATTCAAAGCAATGGAAAATAATCATTTTAATTTTAGATACCAAGACGACCAGATAGGCCTGGCAAAGGATCTTATTGGGCAGTTCATCCACACGCTCTAAGAATGTTTGAAAATGGTAGCTGCTTGAGACGAAGGAAAAGATTTAAGGTATTTCTCTTCACTTTTGTTAATAATTAACAATTTTTTGAGAAATGCTAGTTATCAGGTAATGCAATTTTATTTCACATTATTATAATAATTTTGTATCCGATGAATTCAGAAATGGTTACCAAAGTTGATCTTTGTCTTCTTTTTCAATTTCATTAAATCAGCATCTGAGTTCAATTAAAAATGTATTTCATGTATTTGAATATATTTGCCCTAATGCTATTTAATGGACAGGTGCAAACATATGGTGTTAGCGAAAATTTGCAACATCCATTACCGAAACTAGCCTATCACCAACCACCTTGCTCATCACTCCAATGGCTATTGCCTACTCATTTACCGTCATCAGTAACAGCCGGTACTTTCATGGATCCACAACAGCTCTTCCTTACAACTCATAGTCTCCTTTTATTTCCCTCTTTAACCCAGCAACCAGCTGATTTACCTACTATTATCACACCAAAATCAATATGTAACTCTTCGTTTACCATTGATTCAATCTTATCATCAGCAACTTAATTGATATCACTTAGCACAGGTTTTTACAAACTACCTTTTTTCTTAAAATTTTTAATACAATTTTATAATTACGACAAAAATGATAATATTTTCTACAGCAGTTACTTCGTAGAATTTTGTGGGAATAAAATTAATTATTATAAGAGTTTTTATTAAATTTTTTCCCCATTATTAATTTAATTCTTTTCTCAGATCTAAAATTGTTAATTTATTTTATTATTCAAATATATGAATAAGAAATTATTTTCGAATATTCATTTATAATATACCATTGCGAAAAGATTATTATTTTCTTTATCCGTAGTAATGGCAACATCGTAATTTACAGTATCTTTTATTTTTATCAAGTTGCTCGCGTTCCACTATCATCCATCTGTTACTGTTACGGTGCTTGTTTTTGACTGTTACAATTATTCAATGTTCGCAATAAATTTAAATACCATTAATAAGAAACTTCACTTAACAGTGAATTTGAATTCAAGTTTGAATTTAAATTTCAAATGAATAAGTTTTTTATAATTATATGTTAGAAGCTTTAGAAGTATAGTTTATGTCCTTTTTGTAAATTTTAATTCTTATCAAAAATACATTCAGTTATCACTTTTCAGTTAAACTAAATAGTCATTAAAGAGATAATCATAAATTAAAATGATGCTAAAATGTCAATTTTTTCTTGTTTTTGTTCCACCCTATAAATTTATTTATTTAAGAAACGTAGAAGAAATCCATGTGGTTTTTTTTCAAAGTACTTATTTCTGGATCAATGAGCAAAGGTAAGCCAAAAACTCGAAAGTCCAAAAGTATTAGAAAGAACTTAAATAAATTCTCAAGTTGAAAATGAATTAATCATATCTTCTAAGTTAATATTGTAATCTCGCAGATAATCACGGTTGTTAGAATTCTACAGGAATTTTAGTTTTCTCCTATTTCAACTGTCACATATCTTTGCTCCTGTATTCCATGAAAGATTTTATTCTAAAAATTATCTGTTGATGTTAATTAGGTTGATGTATAATATATAATTTCATATCTTGATATTATTATAATTATAATTATAATGAATGAATGAAATGAATTTGATTTGTGATCTTCCAGTAAATGACATTGCTTCATTTATTGCAATTGGCAGTATTGCTTATTACAATTGCAACAGATGTTTCAGCTTGTCCTTGTCCTTTCTCCTATCATTGTTTCTTTATGCTATTCCTTTGGGAATCATTGCCAAATTACATTTTAAAAAGGTCAAAGGGTCACAACTAGTTTTTAATTCAATTAAGTAAAGGAAGTTTGCATAATAATACGTGCCAAAGATTACCATAATTTTGATAAAGTTTTTTTTCTTTTTTTTTTTAAGAAAAATAATCAGTTAAATTTTTTGGCAAACATTATAGCTTTTAGTTTCGAAATTTTATATTTTGAATAACGTAAACACTCAAAGTTATTCGTTTTTTTTTGAAATTGAATCGTTTTAATATTTTATTTTTATCTTTTTTTTTGAAAAATTTCGACGAACTGTACATATTTTATAGCAATAGTTATGGTAATGATGATAATTATAACAGATGATTTCAACGAACTGTACATATTTTACGATAATAGTTATGGTAATGATGATAATTATAACAGATTATGATGGCTATAACTATCATCATTACCATAACCATCAACAAAGATCTCTTTGTGTTCTTGCAATCAAAAAAAAGAGAAAAACGGTATTAAAGTGTGATTTTTAGAATGGTATCCATGAAACAAAAGTACAAATGGTTTTCCTTACCATGATTAAAATGTCTCTTGTTTCCATTATTATTGTCATTATCATCACACTACCATTTTTTCGTCTTTTATGGTTTTGTCAATTGGCATTCGATTGGTGATTCTGTCACAATCTCATCTGATGGTTTCATTTTGCGGTAAAGGTGCCTAAAATGGTACATAATTGTTTTTTTGGGTGTGAATTAAAAAATATTAGTCAACAACAATGATCAAACTTTAAATTCTCTTTTAAAATTTCACTAGTAATAAAGTAAAAATAGAAATCGCTAATATTATATAGTTGGCAGTGATTGATTTTTTTGAATGAATTTTTTTTTTCTAAAACTTCAAAAAAATGTGATCTCAATTTCAACAACAGTTGGTACATTTAAACAAATAAAATTAATTCTATGAGATAAATAAGAAGCAATTACTTTGTGGAATTTCATCTAAGACATTCTTCTTAAAATATTTATGGAAGAGAGAAGAAATGGATTGTCATCGTTAGAGAGAGAGAGAGAGAGAGAGAGAGAAAGAGAGAGGAAGCAGAAAATATTAAATAGAATCCGAGGTATATTACTTGAAATATTTAAATGCTTATTTCTTAGTTGATTGGTTCCTGCTTTATAACAATCTAAGCAAAATACCCACGGGAAATCATGACATTGTCTGGAAATTATTTGTTTTCAAACAATTTCTTTCTTTTATCCTCCTCGTTCCAATTTTTGCTAATGAAAATTGATTTGTTGGATTGTTGATCCTTTCCAGCAATTTTACCCATTTCACCATCCTCTTCTCATTTTCAACTCTGAAATAAAAATCAGATGAGTAATTTTGTTCAATATTATGAATAACAATGCATATGCATAATAGTGACAACGTTGTCACCTATTTCTCGATCACACTATTTCTTGATTCATGTCATTTTCAATTTGCACTTACGCGTGATAAAGTTTGCTGGTTATAGAAATGCGCGAATTTGTTTAATAAATATATAAACTAAATTTTTGAGAAATATCATCAAAAAAGAATATGCGTTAAATTTCAGAAAAATCTAAAAATAAATCAGATTAATACTGCAAATTATTTTATTACTAAAATGAAATAACTGGAATCTTTTATGAAATTTTTTAAATAATGATTAATTCATCAAACTATCTAGTTCAAATTAATAA